CTGGGAACCTAAACTCGCCCCCTTCCTGCCCTTAACGTGAAAGCAACAAGTTTATAAAATATTTTTTTTACTATTTATAAATAAATTTATATTCATCGATAAATTTTAAATTTCATACAAAATTCTCTTAGTGTTTGAAAAATATGACAATATAAAGTTTGAACCCTCCTCAATTTGAGGGGGCTGTAAACTTTGTAAGGTCATAAAAATCTTCGAATTTTATGACCCTGGAGGAGGGCAGGGAAGGCAAAGAGTTTAGGACTTTATTTGTTCCCAGGCTCCGGTCATCTCAATTTTTTACAAATGTTCTTTATTTGATATAAGCATAAACTTATAAATGTTTAGAGTGGGCATTTATAACTGACACACTTCAACTTAAACTTAATTACGATTAAGGTTAAGTTGAAGTGTGTCAGAAACCTACAAGTCGACATCAGAGAAGTAACATTTTAACAGACAGCATGAATGTAATCTGGTGGATATATAATCAAAGCATTTGATTGAAACTTTTTGTGGCTAATAGAATAGGAGAAACTCATACAAAAACAAATCCAAGTTAGGGAAAATATGTGTCAACCAAAGAAAACTCTGCTGATCATATAACAAGAAGAATCACAGTATTGGAACTAAAACGAAACATTAGATGGTCAAAAGGACCTGAATTTTTGGTTGATGTTGACATGACAACTGTTAATGTATAGCGACAACAATATAGCAAAGAAGAAAAAAGGAAAGTTAACTATGTTATTCTTGAAAGAAATAGCATGAAAGTCATTTCTTTTTTAAAAACTAACATTGTTAACTTTCCTTTTCTCTTTCCAGCCATTTCTTGAAAGAGAAATACATTTTCATGGAATCTCTCTTCCAAGAAATAGCTTTAAAGAGCATGGCGATCGCAACCTGAGAGATTTTCAAGTTGGACTCAACTCAACATAGGACTTTTTTTGGATGCATCGTTTTATAACAACTGTACATCATCAAAAACATGCAGGCTTGTAAAAGAGCTACAACCAGAAGATATACACAAATGTAATACTACAAACCGGAAATGTAATACTACAAACCAGAAGAGATAGAGAATTGTAAAAGAACTACAACCAGAAGAGATAGAGGAAAATAAACTAATAAAGCTTGCGCAAAGAAAAAGTTTTAAAGAAGAGTTTACGACGCTGCTAGCTGAGAAATCCTTAATAAAAACAAGCAAGTTGCTATGTTAAAACAAAAGTTGAATAAAAATGGAGTAATATGGTGTGATGGACGTTTAAAATATGCAGTATATTGCCATACGATGCCAGATTTCCTATTAAATCGCCGAGGAAAAATTGGATAACAAAACTTATTGTAAAGAAATATCATAAATAAAGAAGACATGTTTGTGGAACCAATCAGACATTGTTGATGTTACAATTTGATTTCGGATAATGCAAGCAAGAGAAGAAATATGCAAATAGAAACTCAATGCCAAAATTGCAAAAGACAAAAAGTTAAAGTTGGGAACTCTTTCTAATGGCCATTTAAGGCTGGACTCCCAGCTTTAAATGGCCATTAGAAAGAGTACCCTACCACTAGAAAGAGTACCACTAGAGACGTACCCTGGGACTAATAGCCATATTTGTGTTGTAAAAGTGAAAATAAGAAATAGTGAAATCAAATGACTAATATCTCGTATACGTTGGCTGAAATCCGACAGTACTTAATTTAAGTCCTTGATAAATTGGGGGGGGGGGGGGGAGAAAACGTTTATTAATTTTTGGGAAAATAATCTCTTCCACCCCAAGCTTATTAAGACCCACACACCTCCCCCCACCCCCCTCCTTATCCCGTTTATTAATTTTTACTTGTTATCAACAAAAACTTTATATCTCAAAACTAAAACAAAAAATCGGTGAAAATTGGCCTTAAAAATTAGAAAATAATTCTCTCAGTCACTGATAAAAACTTAAACCTGTGTAAACAGGCTTCAAAAATCGTCAATCTTGATTTGTCAAAAATGAGTTTTTGGTTTATTTCTCACCATAAAACCTATATCAGCAAATTAAACCCTATTGAAATAATGATAAAACAGCTGTTAGAATATGCGCAAGCCACGCTAGAATTAAATAGTTTTATACGTGTTTTGTAAAAAATATTGGTTTAGATTTATAAACTTTTCTCATATTTTAAAATTAAAAAATCCCCCCTCCCCCTTTTATTAGATCTGAACTGAAATTCCCACCCACCCTTTTATTCCCACTCCTCTTGTATTAAAGACTCGAGACTAGTTACGAAATGAAGCAGCAACCAAAAAGGGACAAAGAATAAAGTTAATAATGATCGATAAGGCTGTAGCCCATCGAAATAGAGGAGAATGGCACGAAGGAATTACCAAGTGAAGAGCGCAAAGCAATAACCAAACGGCACAAAAGAATTATCAAAAGACCAGAGCTGGAAAAAACCCACTTTTTATTATTTCAAAATGTGAGTTTTTGGGTTTTTATTTTTAAATGCTAGAAATCATTATCAAAATGAATCATAATATTAATGACTGCGTGACAATCATAATATGGAGATACCCAGAAAATTTAATGAATATCATAACGAAATTGTAGGAATAAGATATAAATATTTTATCAAAAAATGACAATGTCATAATAATAGTTTTCAAAACTTAAATTGTAAAAAAAATAAACCCAAAAAACCCAGAAATTTTATTTACCTAGAAGTTTTTTTTAAAAACAAACAAACCAAAAAACCCACTTTGTCCAGCCCTGCAAAAGACTATTCGCGAAAAGAACAATTTACAATACTAGAAAACTCTTTTTAATAAAACAGTTTATAAGGAACGAAATAAGAGCGCAACTTGAGCGTAAAAGTGAAAAGTAGCAGTGGCAGTTATTAATATTAGTAGTTAATTATTAGAATTGTAATTATCATATAAAAAAGTTGTATTGTAATTTATAATAGTTTGAATAAAGCATTTTATAAATTATCATATGGTTTATTCTCGGAACCACACCTTTATTTTAAAACATTTATTTCCGCTCCGTAGTTTCTGGTTAAAAATAACTATTTGAAGTTGTACCTGTTATCTTTGGTATGTGGTCTTTGTAATTTGCTGAGTTAGCGCCTATTTTTAGTTAAGTCATTCTTTTAGTTATGTCATTCTTTTAGTTAAGTCAATTGTTTAGTTCATATCCAATGTCAGAACCGAATTTAAATAGAATAGAATGAGACAATCGAATTTTTTATTAATCGAAGCTATTTAGAATCGAATTTGAACTTTCTTTGCTAGGATAGAATCATTTACAGTTGAATTTTTTAGGATCGAATTTTTTAAATTAAGTTATTAAAACTTGTTTCAGTCGAATAATATATATTCTCCATCTAGAACCGAATCTTCTAAAATCGAATCAGTTAAATAAAATTTTTAATGTATGCAATAGTCTATTAAACAGTATATTAAATAAACACATTTATAAAATCTACTGTTGGTCCTCTGTAGAGTTGCAACCCCAAAAAAAACGGTGTGTTTTTTTTTAAAAAAACACGTTTTTTTTGCAAAAAAAACAGACTGGTTCTAAAAACATGTTTTTTATAGTTTTTTTTGCTTTTTTTTAGTATTCATTAAATTTTAGATAACAATAATACTTGAAACAGTTCCAGTGCCCTTAAACCTACAAAATACAAATGTTTTCTATTTAATAAAATGGATATTAACTTATATAATAGCTGTTACAAACTAATCACCAATATTAAAAAAAAACAGTATTAAATATTTAAAAAAGTAATTTTTTTAATAAATCTCAAAAAAACTATACTATTAGCTACTAGTTGATTGTAAGTATAATACTACTGAATGAAGGAAATAAAAATGTTATTTTAGCAGTGTTATTTCATTTATAAAAATGAATGAAATAACACTGCATTGCAAAATACAAAAATGAAGCAACTGTTAAATAAAATTTACTTTAATGTTTATTTACTTTTGTATATTACTTTTTTAAATTTTTAATATTTAATTTCTTTATTTTATTTTAAATTGCAATTAGATAGCTAAAATTTTATTTATTCAAACAATATTCAAGTAAATAAAAATAACACAATGATTAACTTTGTCTAATAAAAAAACATTTAAATTAAACAATTTGTAATCTATTAATTATTTTTAATTAAAAAAAAAAAAAGAAATCTAAAAAAAAATATGCCAGGCAGAAAGAAATGTTTTGTACATTGTTTTTGCTACATTGTTCAATGAGGCACCTTTAGAATCTGGAGGTTCTAAAATTCAACAAGTTATATGCAAATTTTGGAGCTTAAAGCTATCAAAAAATGGCACTCGAATGACTGAGCACATTGCAAAATGTATGAAATGTGGCGATCAAATAAAAAACAAATATTTGAACGATATGCCTTTTAAACAGAAGAAAGTTCAAACTGAACTAATGATGGAAGAAGATATTCCTGAAAACTTACCTATTCAAGATATGAAAAAAGAGAAAAAAATATGTTTATCATCTGCTATTCCACAAGTTCCAATTGAGTCTTTCTTTCCAACACCAAGCTGTTTTGGAAACCAAAGTAGGTCTACAACCCCTAAGTTTGGAGACTGTAAGGCAAATAAAACCAAATCAGATAAGCCTCCCTTAAAACGATTGTATTCTTCAACAAGAGTTCCATTCACAACTCAGAAAAATAAAATTGCATCCTACATTTTAGGAGAGTACAAGAGTTTAGAGTTAGAGTTATCAAGCGACTCTGAAGAATACGGATTTGACTTTACAATAGAAGACCTTAATGAACAAGAAAGCCAGAATACAGAATCTGTTATTAATTAAAAATAAATCTTTTAAATGATGTACTATATATTTACCATATATCAGGTTATTAATATATATTATATTACATTTATAATAAAAATAAAAATTAAATAAAAGTAAATAATTTTTTTTTTAATCTAAAAAACAAAAAAAACCATAAAAAACACAAAAAACACAAAAAAAACATGTTTTTTTTGCAAAAAAAAACACAATTAAAAAAAAACGGTTTTTTTTGCAACTCTAGTCCTCTGCATACTGGACAGTGATTAATAGCACTATTTTAAATGGCTTCAGCACATCGTTGGCATAGGTAAAGATGGCGGCAAGAGAAAACAACAACTTGAAGACTTTTGACGAGGCAAACTTTGCAGACATTTTCAATTGGTCTTTCCACCACAGCAGTTTGTCCATTTGATTGAAATTCTTCATCTACAGTTTGTTCCTAAAAAAGGTATAAATACAAAAAGTCTAACTAGTAAAATTCCTTGTCACTGTCCCAACAAAGGGAAATCTCCACTTGTCAAAAACAACAACAAGAAACCGCTAACATAAATATAATGCAGTAAATACTTTTTGTCTATTGCTAAATATTGTAACAAATTATCTAACCTGTTCAATGAATTCTTGAACATCCTGATCACTTGGCATTTTGATATCGTTACCGAGGAATGATGCAGCTTCAAGAAATTTGGTTGCAGTCCATTCACCACTTGCAAGCTTTTCTTCATACCCACGAAAACGCTCAAGCTGCCTTTGACGATCTTGATGCAGTTCTCTTCTAGATCGGAAACCATTTTGGATCTGGAACATCTAAACTTCCATTGGATAAGTTACCTATTTAAGATTGATTTTTTTAAGATAATTTTAGGGATAAGATCTTTCCACTTAAGTTGAAGAAAGTTCATGAAGCTTTTTAAAAACACTAGGTAGAGACCTTCTTTTCGTCCAGTTATTAAGACATGCAGAACAGACAGGATCATTGTTCCAAACTCCAGTGAAATATTGAACAGCTTACCACCATGGAGGATGGCAGAAGCCACACATAAATGCAGCATCAACAAACAGGATAGTGGTTTCTGAAAAAGAGAAATAATTAACATTTTAAAATAGCTGGGATCTAAATTAATAAAAAATTAGTTTAGGTTTGGTTCCCCCATTTTGATGTTGAAATTATTTATAGCTTAAAAATGATTTACCTGACAAATATGTCAGCAGTGTTGAAGAACAAAAGAACAAAGCTAGTTGATCCTCAAACTCAACAAGGTCTTTGTAGATGTTAGAAAATGGATTGGGTTGCAACATGTTTAGAACTGCCTCATTTGGAGATTTAAGGTTTGTACTGTAGCAACTTCTACGGGCACTCGGCAGAATTTGTTCACACTTTCTGAAAGTAAGTGCAGCCTTGATACCTTCATTTGAGGACTGGATTACACGCAAAGGTAGCTGTGTAGTTGAACCCATGTCTCGCATTTTCTCTAGAGCTGGAAGGTAATCAAAATTTTTGGGCCTAGTTCCACAAGTGTGACCATGTATTGTCTCAAGTAAATTAGTTGACAAAACTATTTTTGCAACTCCGCCACAAAGTTGACGGTGTTTACACTTGAGATACACAAAACCATTAATTTCCTTATTTTTGATGTAGCCAAAGTCCCCTGCAACATACACAAATGTTTTCCATTTGTCACTTTCAATTTTTCTGTATTTCATTTTGCTATTTTAAATTTAAACAAAACTATATATATTTTCACATGCATTCGTTGGTTTTTTTATGTTTACACAAAAATTTGCAACAAATATATTATTTTCAAAAATAATAAAAACCTTTTTTTGAATTATCATGTACACTTTAACCTTTAACATAAAAACCAGTTTGAAAAAATTATGCCGTCTTTCAGCTTCATCACAAATCCATTAAAATTAAAATTGTAAAAAAATTTGCTTGTAAAAAAATTCGATACTGTGAAAAGTAATTGAGTTTTAAAATTACAAATTCGATTGTGGTAAAAAGTAGAGGTGTACCGGATTTTTTTACATATCCAGCCGGATATGCCGGATATAAAATAATATATCCGACCAGATATACCGGATATGTTAAATATTGTAAAAGAATAAGAGGGAACAAGGTTTTATGGGGACAGAGGTGCCCCCTCCCCTAGTGATGCCCTCCTAACTGTTGCCGTGACCGACATTCTTAAATATTACTTATGTTTAAGTTTATCCAGTTTTATCTGAACTAAAGCGAATGGTTCAAAATGGCGTCTCTTTGTAGGAATTATAGGAATTTTTAAAATAGAAAAATTTCACTATGGGTGTAAAAGGGCCGTAGGAACAAAAATTACCCCCAATATAAAAAATACCCCCAAATATTTTTAAGGATGCTTTTATTTTTTTCGAGTCATTTCTTCAGTCGATTTCTTCAAAATTATTTAAATGAAATATTATTTGGATGGGGGAAGGGGGGGGAGGGAATGCCTCTGCTGCCCACCCGGTTTCTACGGGCTGTGTAACTAAAGTAGCGTACGCTACTTTAAGCTAAATATAATTTTTTATTTGGAACAATTTTTTTTAAGATTTTAATAAGCTTTAGGTTACAAATATTACATCTATAAATAATGTTACGCAAAAGGGAGAAAGAGGAGGTCAAGATAACAAGGGAAAAAGAGACAAGAAGGGTATAACACAAAGACGGAGGGGTCATAAATAGACTTTATGGACGGCCGCTTACGCTGTTTATATGTTATAAATAATTATTATTGATATATATATATATATATATATATATATATATATATATATATATATATATATATATATATATATATATATATATATATATATATATCAATTTTCAGATTTTTTCAGGGCTTTCAAAACGTTCGCCATGTTGCCCCGCTTTCCCCTACTACGGTATATTATTTCACTATAATACTTAATTTTTACTTATATTAATTAAATTACTCAAAACAGCTAATTCCTAATTGTTATAAAAGTATGTACACAAGTGGGATATAAGATAATCTCAAAAATTACATATGATGTATCCGGCCGGATACATATATCCGGCCGGATAGCGGATACCGGATTATCCGGTATCATATCGGGTACGCCTCTAGTAAAAAGTAATTAAAGTTTTTTTAAAGTTTTTTTTCGTTTCATTAAACTTTTAATGATATTCGATGATCTCATTCTATGTTAAATAAATTCTATTCTAGAAATTAGTAATATTTTTATCGATTCTAACAGTATGGCGGAATTGGAGTTACAAATAGTATTGCGTACTAAGGTAAGCAATCTGACGTCATACTGAAATAGCCTGCTGCTGGGGGCTTCAGTACATACATCGACTGACATTTAGCCTGACTCGCAGTGGAGTGCTGCTACATCGACTGAGGGTTTGGGATGGGGAAGCAATTGTTTCATTTATCATTTTTTGTTTTTTCTTCTTCTTTTTCGAAAAAAACGGTATAGCTTAAGGTAAGCAGAAAAAGTGAGCAAATGCTTATCAAAACACGCTTTAGTAAGTGTATATATACCTAGAAAAAAATCATATAAAGTCAGGATTTTGCATGTCAGCAATGACCAAAAAAAAAGCCCCGTGTTTTTGAGAACAGGAAATGCCATTTTAGGCCTATTTTTCGATTAAAAATTTAAGCAAAATGACCAAATTTTTTATATTGCCAAAATAATAAGTTTTATATATCATTTGAAAGATAATTTATTGCTGAGTAAAAAGTTTGCTTACCCAAAGTTTAAAAAATGTATGGTTTGTGAGTTATGGCCTATAGTGGAAATTTTGATGTCATTTTTTTTTGAAAAAATATTTTTTTATTGAAATCGTAAGCATGATGTACCGTTAGAAATAGATTTTAATGCTAAGTAAAATATTATCTTAACTCATGATGTAAAAATATTGGTGCTGTGGCTAAGTGAGGAGGTCTATAGTGCTAAGCCCTATACATTAAAGGACTCGGAACTTTTTTAGTGAACCTTTTTTTCGACATAGGTTCAACTTTGCAATAATAAGTTTTTATCATTAATGATGTTGTTTATTGCATTTTTCATATAATAACACACAAAAAAAACATTCCAGTTATTAAGATAATGTTTCGATATTTATTCCAATGACTTATGAATTTTCACAACTTACATTTCTTTTTTCAATTTCTGAAAAGGCAATGTAAGTTTTCTGAAAACATTTTCACAAATTCGGTTCTGGCATTGGACGCCATTTTATTCATAACACCAGTTATTGCTTTCAAGAACTTCTTATAAAAATGAAAATATTCGATGTGTACATAATTTTTTTTTTTTTTTCTTTAAATTTTCACAACTACATAATAATTACAAATTTTTTTACACTGCGATAACACAAACAAAATATACTTCCAATACAAAAAAGTTGATATTTTACAAAATACCGTTAAGATAAACATAGGAAGCAATAATAATATATATGTTATGACTTGTTAAGGGTTTTAGACTCTTGTAGGGAACTCGTAGAAGACTGAGTTTAGTCTTATCATCGAGAACCTTGGAGTATTGCGTATAGTACACATATAAACATTATGATTCTCATAAAACAAATATTTTAAATGTTATTGAGGTAGACATATTTTTTTTATTTTGTTATACTATGTATGGTGTTAGTGTTGTGGTTTATAATAATAATATTATCTTTATTTTTTAAAAAAATACATTTTCATTTTTGATTAATTGATGATTGTTTGAATGTGAGCGTAAATATTAATTTATCATTAGAACTAAAACATTTCTAAATAATAATCTGTATTGAGAACATGATTTTTTAGTTTTGACTTTAAAGAAGTTATATTGCCAGCAAAAGAAATTGATGTATAATTCGGAATTAATTTGTTATATAAATAAGGGCCACGATAAGGAATAGAAAACTGAGATTTTTTTGTCTTTTCCGGGGAACAATAAAGTTACCAGTTAATCTTGTGTTAAATTTGCTGACATTAGATTGAAAGAAATTTTCTGTAAATCGGTTTGGAACTAATCCTAATTTGTATTTTACCATGAACAATATGTTAGCATAGATATTAATTTGGTAATTATTTAGCGCTTTCATTTCTTTTATTAGGGGTTTAGCATGGGTCAGTTTGTTCTTATGATGTATTATTCTAGAGGCATGTTTTTGTCGTCGATAAAGGGACATTGATTTTGTCTTGTGTGTGCTTCCCCAAGCAATGTTAGCTTATGAGAGATAACTATGTATAAAGGAAAAGTAAAGAAGTTTTAGGTTTTTTTGCGATAAAAATGGTCTAGCTTTAAAAAGTATACCAACACTTTTAGATATTTTAGCGTTGATGGCATTTATATGGGCTGTCCGTGAAACATTTTCGTCAATAATCACACCAAGAAATTTAATTGTTTGGGTTCATATACATAATAAATGTATTTTATTTTTTTACGGAAACACTATGCTGCTAATATTTGCCAGTTTTAATACAAGACCTTTAGTGCGATATAAAATACAAATTTTGTAGTACTTAACTTGATCGCGCAGTAAGTCTTTAGAATAAGATGAAAATCATAGTTGGGAACAACACATCGAAGTTTTAAAAACATTGTGTAGAGCTAGAATGCCTCAAATAAACGCATTTTAAAACAATTGTATTCCTCCTTTATCCGTTTTCATTTAAACTATGCAATATTACTAAGGGTTAAGCCGATTAACTGAAGTAAAGCCTAGCGTAGTCGAATTTTTAAAACTCAAATTTAAATAAAAGACGAATTTAGATCATATGCGTATACTAAATTTAACTAAAAGACAAATTTGGATTTTTAGCGTTTTAACCACTGCGTCGGGGTTGCTGTGTAATCTTTTATTTTTTTTGAGAAAATTTTAGATATACAAGACTTTTTTTTAAAATTTACGATTGTCCCCACTTCGAAACTCGAACCGTCGGCCCTGGAATTGACTAATTGCCTAAAAAAGTCTTTGTATATTGACTCCGTATGACAAATTTATTTCTAACAAGTTTTTTTTTTCTTACTGAATTCATTTTCCCAAGGCTGATTGGGCCACTTTAATCGAGGAAGCTACTTCTTATATTGGTTACAACCCTTTTTCAGCTCTTTAACTTCGAAACACTATCCAGAGTTAAAGAGTTGAAAAAGGGTTGTAACCAATAGAAACATGTAGATATACATAAAACATACAATATATTTCATAATTCTTCTTCTTTATAAATTGAAGAAAAACTTGATAGCATTCGAATTTAACTGAAATTGAATGGAATTTGGAAATTGTTACAAATTTAACTAAAAGCCGAATTTTTATTTCAACTTCGGAACCGAAATCGAAGTTAACTTCGCCTTTCAATAAACTTCGTAATCCGAATTTACCAAATATTTGCTAGTCCTTAAACTGAAGTCTATTTATTGTGAACAGAAGAGGCACGTTAAACTAAAAATTCCTAATATCAATTAGTTCAATCTTTTTAATATTCTTTGCACTTTTTTACAAATGTAAAACTAACTCCAGTTTCTTTTCATAACTTATATATCTTAAATCATTTCTTTATCATTAAATAAGTGAAGTTAATTTTTTCAAAATTTTTTTTTTCTGAAGTCCTAAATAGTTTCTTTATCAAGTAAATATAATTCGCGGCTAAAGCATGATATGTAAACCGTATTTTTAGCTTAAA